TTCTCAAGTTTCATTTTTCTTTATGACTGAATAAAACTCCATGGTGTATATATATATACACATTTTTTTAAAAATCAGTTCATTTGTTTGTGGACACCTAGACTGGTTCCATAATTTGACTATTGTGAATTGTGCTGCTATAACATGAGCATACATATATTGCTACAGTATGCTGCTGACTTTAATTCTTTAGGATAAATACTGAGAGAAGTGGTATAGTGGGTCAGAACTTGGGTTCCATGCCTACTCTTTCAGTTCCTCCACCTCCTTATGGCTTTCCACCCACAATAACAAGACAAAGAGCTATTTTTACACATGATTTTTGACAGATGGGACTTTCTAGACTATCCTAGTATTTTCCTTAATTCTTCAACACTACAATTAATGGTCTTTTTATATTCAGATTAGTATTATTAAGTATATTCTCCAGATTGAACTGGATATGTATTTCCATAGTTTGCTTCCCAACTTAGGAACGTAATAATAACCCTGTCCTGTGAAATGAAACCCAAAAGACAGTCACATTAGTATTGTTCCTAGAGTTACGGTCCGAGCTTCCATCTGTTCATACATTTTGAGGACATAGACCACTCTTTGAAGCATGTGTATATTCATTGGGTTGGCTATTATTCTGCTTATTTCTTAGTTGTTCAGAAGTGGAGATTTGGGAGCAAAAAAGTCCTTTATTCCAAGAGGTATCTGAAGTTAAATTTAAGAGAATATCATTATTTTGCTCTGAGATTCTCTTAAGGCACCACAATTATATAAGCTCTTAACCTTTTGTAACAGCTATTTATGAACTATCCTCAGCAACAATTTTCATTTTCATTAATCATTATCCACTTATTATTAACTTAAATCTACATCTTTCTCTGCGAGGTATTTCTCTCTGGCTAAATCACAGGGCTAGCCTACATTTGCTGGTAGCAAGATGAGATTTTTCTGGGGTTTCCCCATTCTCAATCAGGAGGATCAGAGACTGAATAAATATGGAGTGGCTTGGATTGGATAAATAGAAATGGGACTATCCTTACTACCAGACAAAAAAACATTTGCAATCAGTTTCAACTTGATGAGGTGCAGGAAATAAATAATCCAATCCACCAATCCCTTTGGAATTTTTCCATTTAGGTTCAAGTTAACATTCATATTATCTTGCTTTGGAATACTACTAGACTTTGGGATCTTTAATGGCAACCCTGGTTTCAGGAGTTAACATATCTACCACTGACAAAGAGAGCTGTATTGAAGCAGGGGAGACTTGTGCTTTAATGCCTATGTTGCCCCTTACCTTTTCCCCCTAACTGTACTGAAAAGTGTAATCATTTATCTCACGGAACTCACTTTTAGTCCCCTTCATCTTAAGTTGTGAAACATAACACTGTTGGCTTACAGACCAGCCCTTTGATTCTTTGTCATGTTCTTTTTTAAAAATATATATATATTTTTTAGTTGTAGATGAACACAACACCTTTATTTTTCTGTGGTGCAGAGGATTGAACTCAGTGCCTTCCCCATGCAAGCCGAGCACTCTACCACTGAGCTACAACCCCAGCCCCTGTCATGCCCTTATTAAGCAGGCATTTTACTAATCCATTCCAATCTACTATTAATTCTCTTCTTTGAAGGTAAATAATAAATCTATCTAGTGTGTGGTATACATCCATAATTCCAGCAACTCAGGGAGGCTGATGCTAAAGGATTGTCAGCCTCAGCATCTTAGTGAGACCCTAAGCAAATGAGTGAGACCTTATCTCAAAATAAAAAATAAAAAGGGCTGGGGATGGTAGCTCAGTGGTAGAGCACCCCTGAGTTAGATTCCCAGTACCATAAATATATGGAGAGAGAGAGAGAGAGAGAGAGAGGGTGAGTGAAAGGGAGAGGGGGAGAGAGAGTGTCAGCCCATTGATGTTGTCTAACTTAGTGTGGTCTGCATTAGCAGTGAACTGAGTGTCTTGACTTAAGGGTTACAGGCAAGAAGTCCCAAGAAGTACTTTGAATTTCTCCTCCCAGGTCTCCATGGGATTTGGTGGTGAGAATCTCTGCTTGCCCCTTGCTTCACCAGAATCTTTGTCTTTGAGAAATTGTATCTTTCTACTGTAAATTTTAAGCTAAAATAGATGTAGGTTCTGAATTCAGAGATGTTTGTATGTTTATTACTGAGATTGGATTCTGGTTTTTAAGTGATATCTAATGGATGGTAGATATTAGCTGAAATTATCAAATAAAGGAGTCCCAGGCTCAGGTTGTGGTGAGCAAGTGGGAAAGAATAGTTTTTGCCCTTCCAGTGAGGAATATAAAGAAAGGGCAAATGTAATCAATCTCTTTTACTTTAATAAATTTAAAAGCACTGAAAATGAAATTAAATTATAGTGGAGCATAATATAACAATTTCTTTATAATTAAATCAATGAAACACAGACCATATAGATGACCATATATGAAAAGGTGTTTTCACACAATTTCTGAATGCATAACTCCATTTATAAAAAAACAAAAATGGGCAAAATTAACTTATGTTTATGGATGTCAGGATAGTGCTTGCTCATGAGGGTTGAATAACTAGAAAAGGGGAGATTTTTTAGGTGCTTGTCAGTATAGAGGATAGTTATATGGGTATATTCAATTTGTTCAAATTCAACAATTATACACTTATGATTTGTGCACTTTCCTGTATGTGTCAGACAAATAAAAAGTAACCAAATGAAGCAAAATATATCCCTCCCCCCACAACTCACATACTATCAGGAGAGACAAGCAGGAAGACTCCTATTTTTGTTGCTCTTTATTTTTTTATATATATTCATGTTCAGACTTGGTAACATTTTTTTTTCCTGAAGTACTTTAACATTCCTCACAGTGAATGTTTGCTCGTGATGAATTCTTTCAGCTTTCATGTCTGAAAAAGCCTTTATTTTGATAGCTATTTGTAGTAAGCAGAGAATTCTAGGTTGACACTTCCTTCCCTTTCAGCATTTGAGAGAGGTTGCAACCACTGTACTCTTGAATGCATCGTTTCCGGGAAACCATCTGTTGTCATTCGGGTCTTTCTTATTTGGCATGTATTGTGCCTTCTCTCCCCTCAGCTGTTCTTAAGATTTTCTTCTTTTTTTTTTTTAATTTTATTTATTTATTGGTATGTGGTGCTGAGAATCAAACCAGTACCTCACACATGCTAGGCAAATGCTCTACCACTGAGCCACAATCCCAGCCCCAAGATTTTCTTCTTAAACTCTGTTTTGGAACAATTTTATTTGATGTGTCTTGTGTAGTTTTCTTTATTTTTTTTAACATTTTTTTAGTTGTCAATGTACCTTTATTTTATTTATATGTGATGCTGAGAATTGAACCCAGTGCCTCACACATGCTAGACAAGCTCTCTACCTCTGAGCTACAACCCCAGCCCTTCTTTATGTTTCTTGTGTTTGTGATACAATGAGCTTCTTGGTTTATAGTTTTCATTAAACTGTAAAAGTTTTTGGCAAGTACATTTTCAAAAAAATATTTTTTCCTGTTTCCTGCTCTGTCCTTTCTTTCAGGGATTCTTCTTAGACATATATTAAGTCACTTGAATTTGTCCTACAGCTTGGTGGTGCTCTGTTAATTGTTGTTTTAAATTCTCTTTTATCTTGTATTTCATTTGGGTAGCTTGTATTACATTGTGTTCAAATTCGCCAATCTTTTCTTCTGCAATGTCTGATCTGCCATTCATTATTTCCGGTGTATTTTTAGTTAGAACATTCTAGTTTTTATTTCCAGAGTTGTATTTGGATATTTAAAAAATAACTTCTCTATGTTTACATTTTTTTGTAAATTTGAAATACAGGTATAACAATTCTTTTAATGCTCTTCTTTGTTAATACTAGGTTGGTTTCAATGGATTGATTTTTTCCCCCTCACTGTAAGTTATATTTGCTTGGATTGTAAGTTTTACATCACTGGGTTTTGAATATTTTTATATTCTGTAAATAATCTTGAGCTATGTCCAAGTCTGCAGTCAAATTACTTAGAGATAGTTTTGATTTTGATTCTTTTAAGTTTTGCTTTTAAGAGTTATTAGCAAGACCCAAGAAGTATTTAGTACAGGAGTAATTATCCCTCACTCCTAAGCAAGAGCTTTCTGCCTTGACCATCCAATGCTCTATTAATTGTCCAAGTTTTCGGTCTTGCTGAGGAGAAACAGCCACTGTAACGAGCCTTGTGTGGGCACTCGGTTCTGTTTCCTCTAATCTTCTCAAATGGTTCTTTTCCCTGCCTGAGAATCTTTCTCTGCCCTGTGCTGATTAAGTACTCTGTTGAGTACATGAGGAAGGTCCTCTGCAGACCTCTAGGGTTCTCTCTTCCAGAGACCCCTCTAGTACTCCCAATTCTCAGCTCCATCTCCGCATCCCAGGGAGTCAGCTAGGTTCTGCCTGGCTTTGGCCTCTGTTCCTGGGCCTTGGAAACTCTCAAGACACTATCCAAGGGCAACTTCAGGGCTCCCCTTGTTCCCCCTTCTCTCAGGGATTACTGCCCTTCATTGCCTCTTGTCCAGTGCCTTGAAAACCCTTGTCCAACTTTTTGGTTGTTTCAGATGGGACAATTAAGTGATCACTCCATCCTGACATGAAGAGAGAGAGTATTTAACTGGATATACTAGTTTTAGAAACTGAATCTCACTTGAGCCCAACTTATTATCCGTGCAATGTATAAGTTGTATTTTGTAGATATTATATAATACTGCTCTACTGGGGTTGGATGAATCATATTAACTTGATTAAGAAAAAACAATTCACTGTTTTTTTCGGAAATACTTTTTCAATGTCAGTTAAGGGGAAACTGTTACCACAAGTTTATACTTTATCAAGAATCAGGAAGTACTATGAGATCAGCATAAGATTAAAAAATTTTGTTTTGAGTAGGAGACTATATATTTTAGGTATCTGGTTGGAAGTTACACTTGTCAGAACTGTTTGTCTGTCTGAATTTTGCTATATTGAGCTTCTTCATCATTTGGTGTGATGTCAAATGCTAGTAGTACAAGTAGCTCGATATCAAATTATCAAATTACTTTAGCATTTTTAATGTCTTTACTAGCTTTTGCCACAATGCTAGGAAATGCTGTGGTTATTTTAGCTTTTGTAGTGGACAAAAACCTTAGACATCGAAGTAATTTTTTTTTTCTTAACTTGGCCATTTCTGATTTCTTCGTGGGTAAGTTGTGTCTTTATTTAAAATAACCTTTTCCATTTATAATTTATTCCTAAGACCTTAAAATAAGTGGTTAATATTTCAAGGGAATTTATGAGATGGAGGGATTAACACAAAAAACATTAAAATATTAAAATCCAGGAAGGGGGTCTATATGGCACTTTAAGGGAATATTATACATAATGTAAATCAGTGTGATAATGGAAATTTCATCTGAAAAGATTTTTTTCCTTTGTATAGAATAAAAGTAAGTCCCAAATAAATATAAAATTATTTTAGTGTAAGAGTTACTTGTTTCTGGAACTATTATCCTTGTATGTCTAGATTTATAGGTATTTCTCTTTAAGTACATATAGCTTCCTCACTATTACAGTGTTAGGGTAATAGGAATAACTCATATGCTGGTAATCAGCACAATCAGAAAATGGGATATTCAGGTCAGTTAAATAATATGTTTAATAGTATTATTTTATGGCATAACAGATATTATAAAATATACTTATCTACCTTGCAAATAATATAGCATTATATAATTGGATGAGACCATAGAGATCAAATTAATGTTTCTTTGAAAACATGTTCTTTTTAAGTTTTACTTTCTGCTGGTTATCACTTCTTAATAATGCATATTATAATAAATATAAGTACAGCCCTGTCAACTAACTGGTATTATTTTAAAGGAGCTTCTAGTATAATTTATTCTGGCATATTCAGATTTTTTCACTTATAGCTTCATAAAGCTTGCATTTATGTTAAAATGAAACAAAACTCAAAGAATACTTAATTCATTGCCTGGAACACAGTGGCTGCTCAACAAATATTAGTCCCCTTCTCTTTTGATTTCTCTACAGATATATGTCCACCCAAACCAAATTCACAAATATTAGTATAGTACACAGTGTGTGTCAATACTGTTATATGTGCAGGTATTATTAGATAATCAAGGGATTTATAGAAGAGTAGGTTATTCTCCTTCGGGGAGGTTTCAATATAGTGGAGTGGAATAGAGAAATTCACAAATGACTATAGAGATAAAGAGTAATGTAGGACCCCACGAAGACCCACCAGAGGTCACTCAGAGGAGGGATAAAGCTCGTTTAGTGGAGAGTGGCATTCAAAATTAACTGTTGAAAGATGAATAGAATTTCCATAGGCAGATATGAGGAGGAGAGAAGAATCCCAAGCATTACCAGCAATCATGAAGTCACCATGCTGCTATGAAGTCACCATGCATATCTCCCTGGGTGAGCTTGGGGTTTGGTCTGTAGACAATTGAAATGGGAACAGCAAGGGAGGAAGTCGAAATCTATATGGCCAAGAGCTTTAAATAATATTGTCAGCTGGATGGGAATAGTAGTAAGCAGTAGTGTCGGTCTGGATTATTAAATGGCAATGTGGAGATTTAAGAATTTAAAAGCAGGTGAGCAAGTGAATGGATTGAACTCTCTCTCGGAGGCGTCAGATGAGCTATTGGAGGTAGGAGAGGTTGGAGGATGCAGAGCATGTTTCAGGCTGATGGTGCAGCAATCCAGGCAGAGGTCATGTGGCAAGGCTCTGAGCCAGGATGAGGGTAGAAAGGAAGGGCAGGAGGCAGATCTGCACAGGGTGGGGTTGGTCAAGATAAAGATGAGTCAACGACTGGGCTTCTGGTACTAAGAAAGGGCTGGCACACAGGGAAAGTGAAGGGCATTTGGGGAGAGCAGCTGTGATTCTGATGTTGCCTTCAAAGTTCTGGAGGAAACTGTTGTTCAGGGAAATTGATTGAGGAGCCATGGCATAAATTGACAGGGTCACGAATAACCAATGTAGAAATATTAAAAAAAAAAAAGCATCAGTCTTCCTGCTTCCCTCCTCCATTCAATTTTTCCATCTAGCCAACATTTGCAGCTTGATGTAGGTTTCCCATTATTCTCTATGCTCACATAAACATGTACAAATATACAAGTCTATTTATGTGAACGTACAGAATGTTCTGCTATAAATATACTTATCTCTCTTCTCCTCCTCCACAGAATTGTGTGGCTTTTAGTGATGATCAGCATATAAAATAGATGATGTATTTTGACTCACCCAATGAGAGTGAGGCCCTGATTGCCCTGGAAGTAGGGAGAGACCAGGTGAAAGGACTGAGAACCCAGAGCCTGAAGCTTTTGAACAAAGATAGTTTCAGATAAGAATGTGGGAATGAGTGTCTCCACGTCTGGCTCAAGGTCAACATCAAGGCAGCTCCTCCCCACCATCCAGGGCTGGAGTACCACACCACAGAGATATGCCTCGTCTTTAAGAAATGGTACCTGTAGTTATTTCATGTTCCTGGTGGTCTCCCTCCATCAGCAGGAGGATGGGTGTAGGGTCGATTTTGCTTCTGCTAAGAAGAGCTGCATGTAGGCCAAACAGAATCTCTGGTCTTCTTCCAGTCTCATCCTTCACGGTTCCCCTGTGCCTGCCAGCTTTATCCAGAGTTACTCATTTAACATGGCACTTGCTATGACATAAGAATTGGGACAGTCCCTGAGCTTTTTGTAACAAGATTTGAATATTCTCCTTTGCCATGCTCTGAAGTGTGCCTTTTGGTTCTGAGCTTGGAGGAACTCTGGGAGGTGGTGGTAGGGCATGTCAGGACTCTGAGAAGTTTTCTGTAGCTGTAAGGCAGCCATTCTTTGTATTTGGGGTCAGGAAACCCAGATCACCGGAACCCTGTGATGATGGCAGATTAGATCCTCATAGGCACTCGGACAAACAACCTTCCTCACAGGCTTTAGAACTTGCCTCCTGTTGAAATCTAAATTTGTGGCAGCTGCTTAGCTAGCTTCCCAGGCTGAATTTACTGTTGGAAAGCAAAGACTTATTGAGGGAAAAATTCCTTTACCAGCTATACCGGATGATATAAAAATGAGATATATCAATATAGTTTGACTGCACAGCATCTCATCTATACACTATTGATAAATGTAGATGGAAAAATAGATATCTATAAAATTGCTATCACATGGCTAATGTTTCCATCTGTGCGTGTCTACATGTACTGTGGGCATTTATAGCCTATGCAGCCATGTCATATGTGGCCTGGATGGGATTTTCAGGGGTGAAAAGTGTTGCCAATCCAAGACAAAATTCCAGGATAAATTAAAGTTTATCTTTAATACCTTCATGTGCCCATTCAGCACCTTTCTCTACCTCTCCATCCCTCTGTCTACTTGGGCTGTAGAGTCTGCGTGGCTTTGACAACAGGGATGTGTTTTCAGGGTTCCGAAAGTTGGGAATCCAGGATCTGGACAATCAAGCTCCTGGTGAGAACGTTTTTCCTGGCTTACAGACAGGTCCCCTCTCACTGTGTCTTCATGCGGCCTTTCTTTCTTTGTACCAGGGATTGAAACCAGTGGCCTTAACCACTGAGCAAAATATTCTATTTTGAGACAGGGTCTTGCTGAATGACTTAGGGCCTCATTAAGTTGCTGAGGCTGGCTTTGAACCTGCGATCCTCCTGCCTCAGGCTCCTGAGATGCTGGGATAACAAGCATATGCCACTGTGCCTGGCTACATGGACATTCTCTGAATGCCCTCTGTTGTCTCTTCCTAAAAGGACATCATTCCTATTGAATCAGGGCTACCCCCTTGTGACCTCATTTACCCCTAATTTCTTCCTTAGGACCCATCTTCCAATACAGTCACACTGAGGGTCAGGGCTTCAGTATATGAATTGGGGAGGGTAGATGAACACTTAGTCCTTAACACCTCTGTACGTTTACCGTCATCCACTTGTCCCTGTGTTGGCCCAAAGGACTGACTGAGGCTATTGGCTCCCTTCAGTTTTTGTTTGACATTTTCCCATAAAAGGTATAGCAGCTTAGCTGACTTGGAAAGAAGGCGCAAGCCCAGACTGAGGCAATGTTGAAGCAAACTGGGCATCCCACCCTCATCCACTCATTCACTCCACAATGACTTATTCTGAAGCAGGTGCTCTCTAGAGTTGCCAGGGACATGGCCGTGAAGATCCAGACAAAAGTCCTGCTCCCTGGTGTCCTGTTTCTGCTAGGTGCAGGGAAGTGGAGCTGAATAATAAGCTACCTAAATAAGAAGATAAAACGAAGTAGCATTTTAGAGGGTGATAATTGCTGTTGAGAAAAATATAGCAGGCTGAGGGGGAGGCAGGGTTCTGGGTGGGGGGTTACCATTTTAAGCATTGGGGGTGGGCTCGCTGAGAAAGGCACAGGAGAAATCAGCAGCTCTCTGGAGGAAGAGCATTTCTTGCCAAGGAACAGCAAGTGAGGAGGAGGGAGGTGGGAGGGTGTATGGGAGGCCAGAGGAGCTGGGGCAGGATGAGCGAGGGGCGCAGGAGTAGGGGAGGTGGGCGGCTGGGCTGAAGCAAGTCACCCGGAATGACTTGAGTCCTCAGAGTCTCACAAGCTTTTCCTCTCATTGTCCTTCCTTCCTTCTCTTGTCCCTGTTTATTCACCTTTCTTCCTCCCTTTACCACATTCATTTTTAAAAAATAATACATATTTTTCAATATCTTATTTATTTATTTTTACGTGGTGCTGAGGATCCAACCCAGTGCAAGGCAAGGGCTCTACCACTGAGCCCCAGCCCCACTCCTTTCCCACATTCTTTTAATATAGTTTATTCGCTATTTCTCGCTTCAGTTTTTCCTAAATCAAATGTGTCAAAGGCTTATTGTTGTGTTCAAGGAATTGGCTCTTGGCTTTCCTCAGTGAGTTCGCTTGACCCACAAGCGCAGTTTCAGAGCAAAAGTTGTAGAAACACTTAAATCTGAGGGATATTTCATATTCACTTTTCAGAAACTCCTTCAGAATATCTCTATGACTTCTAGACAGAGGAACTGAGAACATGACATTTGTATTAAAACGCAGCACAAGAACATAAGGTGGACAGCAGGGTTTTACTAAAACTAAATAGATTGGAGTCTGTTTTAAGCTAACTGCAATTTCAAGCTGCTTCTATGGTTTTGAACGCACCCTTCCTCTTTCATATAATCCAAAATGCATGTGAAAAAGAGTATTTAAGTCAGATCCCTCCCTTTAACCTTTTATTTTTTTTTGTACTGGGGATTGAACTCAGGGGCACTTGACCACTGAGACACATCCCCAGCCCTATTTTGTATTTTATTTAGAGACAGGGTCTCACTGAGTTGCTTAGTGCCTTGTCATTTCTGCTTTGAGGTCAGCTTTGAACTCTAGATCCTCCTGCCTCAGCTCCCGAGCCGCTGGGATTACAGATGTGCACTACGGGTCTGGCTCCCTTTAACCTTTAAGTTAGTGATGTCTATAATGCAAATGGTGACTGGCATCTCACTCTGTAGGAGAAATGAGTGCAGCTGTGAAAATATTCATGTTGCAAACACTGGAATCCACTGGCGTGGGCCAAAATATCATAAAGTGTCTGTTTTTGAGATACTTTAATTTATCTCAGGTAAACCTAGTGATCTTCTTTGTTTTACAATTGTGTGCATAGGTGTGCACAGACACACACCCCATAAGGGTTGAGATGAGAATTTTTGCCTCAAAATAAAATTGAAGCTGGGTGCGGTAGTGGCACAACTGTAATCCCAGTAAGCTCCAGAGGTTGAGGCAAGAGGATCTTGAGTTCAAAGCCAGCCTCAGCAATTTAGCGAGCAACTCAATGAGACCCTGTCTCTCAATAAAATACAAAAAAGGGCTGGGGATGTGGCTCAGTGGTTAAACCACCCTGAGTTCAATCCCTAGTACCAAAAATAAATAAGTAAATAGATGGATAGATAAATACATAAAATAAAATTGAAACATAAAGCAAGTTTACTTGGACTACATACATATAAGAACTGACCATGCAGCTCTTCTTCTCTATGGTGTCCATCTGATGACTCTGTATGTAAATCCAGATAAGAATCCTACATTCTGGGTTCCCTTCCACTGGTTCTGAAATCTTGCCATTGTAGTCTCATGTTGTCTTGTTTTGGAAGAATTCTTCCTCCCTGTTTCTTTTCTTTTCTCTCTACTTATTTATGATTTATTCTGTTTTTAAAATGTATTTTTATTAGTGTGTCATAATTATGCATAGTAGTTCACTTTGACAAAATCAAACTTGCAAGGAATTTGATTTCGAGCTCCCTCTTCCCTTCTCCTTCCTTTACTCATTTAAACTTCTTTTCTTCTACATACGTGTAAAAGTGAAATTCCCTTCAGAAGCCTTATATATGAATCAAGCCTGATTTTGTCAAATTCATTCAGTTTTATCCTCCCCTTTCTCTTTCTTCCTCCCTCTCCTTCTGCTCCACTGATCTACCTCCTATCTTTATGACATCTGATCCCCTCTCCAACCATCTTCTTTCCCTTATTTTGCTCTAGCTTCCATAAATGAGAGAAAACATTCATTCTTTGATTTTCTTAGTCTGGCTTATTTCACTTAGCATTTTCTCCATGTCACCATCTATTTACTGGCAAATCCCATCATTTCATTCTTCTTTATGGCTGAATAGAACTCCATTGTGTACATACACCACATTTTCTTAATCCACCTACCTACTAACAATCATCTGGATTGGTTCCAGAACTTGGCTAGTGTGAATTGGGCTCCTATAAACATTGAAGTGGATGTTATTGCTATCGTATGCTGATTTTAGGTCTTTTGGATAAACACTGAGGAGTGGAACAGGTGGGTCATATGGTGATTCCATTCCTAGTTTTTTTTGAGGAGTCTCCACACTGCTTTCCAGAGTAGTTGTACTAATTTGCAGTCCCACCAACAATGATAGGCTAGTTTGGTTCTCATGCACCTAAAATAAGAATTTCTGTAAGTGCCTGATAAAATATGAAGATAATCACCAAAATCAGATTTCAACTGAGTTCCCACTTAATGTGTCATATTCTCAGCAAGTAAAGACACCTGTCTGAAATGTCAACACAGTTTTTAAAAAAACCCTAAAAACTAAAAGAAGGGGAACCCAACTTAGTTACTTTCACAGGTAAGCAGTTTCTGTGCTAGGGTGAATTGCCATGGTAGAGTTTACTTATTTGTTCGTTCAGTGAAGGGTTGTGGTTGGAATCAGGGGTTTTGAAATCACAGTTTCTGGTTTCAGATTCAGCTTCTTCTCCACTTACTAGATAAGTGTGTCTTGTTTAATTGTTCCTCTCTTCTTTCTGTGTAGTTGGTTCTTAACTATTAATTCAGCACGGTTCCTACCTCACCAAGTTTCTATGAAGATTAAGTGAGATGATATTTATGATGCACAGAGCACAGTGTCTGACATATGGTCATTTGTACAATACATATTAGCTTATTAGTTTAAGTTAAATGTGCAAACGACCGTGTAAATCAATCTAGGCATCATAGAAAATGTAAGCATTGATTTATGATATGCTCTTCAGCCTCAAGAGAGACAAATTAAAAGATGACTGTGATGTAAAACGGAATGAAATTAGAGAAGAAGAGACAAAGTGGCAAAGTGCCAGGAGAGTGCAGGTGACAGAGGGATCACTTCTGCCAAAGAAGTTCCAAGAGAGGTGACAAGGAGGAAGTCATTTTTTGACTTTAGGGAAAAAAAAGATAAAGAAGTAAGCACATTTTTTCAGTAGAAAAAAAGGAGGACAAGAGTGTGTGCAAGTCTAGGTTTGAATCCCCAGCACTTAAATAAATAAATAAATAAAAGAGGACGACATTCTAAGAAGAAAGAATGATGTGAACAAAGAGAAAGAGATGTGAAAATGTGGGTTGTGTTTGGTGAAGCCCACTCTCTTTGGGTTGGATCATGAAGAACATAAAGATGTTTTTTTTTTTTTTTTTTTTTTTTACTGTATATGACTAGAAATAGAGGTCAGGATCTGTATTTAAATTGGAAAGTAATAAGGAGCCTTTGGAGGTACATTGCTCATGACATCTATTATAAAAAAAATCATATTTAGAGTGCATAGAAAGTCAGTCCTGAGCTGTTTAGTGAAATACTATGAATTTCTATATATAACTGTGTTGGTCAGCTTTGCATTACTACAACAAAGTATCTGAGACCATTAGCTTATAAAAAGAAAATGTTTATTTAGCTCACAGTTTGGAGTTCAAATCCAAGGTTGGTTTTGGCCCACTGATTCGACTTCTGATGAAGATGGCAGATCATAATTGTAGGAACACATGTCAGAGTTATTGCTCACATCTAGAGGCAGGAAACAGAGAGAGATTAAGAGTCTGGGGTCCCCCAGTCTCCTTCAAGAACATGTTTTCAATGACCTAAGGATCTCCCAAAAGGCCCCAACTCTTAGAAGTTCACAAACCTCCAAATACTGCTGCTTTTATGACTATTTTCTATATATGCCCTTTGGAGGATTCTCATCCAAGTTATAGCAATAACCAAACAATATTTAGTGAATTCAGATATATCATTGTGTTGTGTACCCATTTCAATCTACCTTTTTTGTATTCATCCATGTGTGCTATTTGCTACTTCTTGTTTTCCCCCTGAACAGGTGTGATCTCCATTCCTCTGTACATCCCTCACACACTGGATGGTTGGAATTTTGGAAATGAACTCTGTGTATTTTGGCTCATCATTGACCACCTTTTGTGTACAGCATCTGTGTATAACATTGTTCTCATCAGCTATGATCGATACCAGTCAGTCTCTAATGCTGTAAGTCAAAACGTTTAATTTATTTTTCTTAGAAATATAGATGAAAATTTTGGGTCTCTCAAATTATCTGGAGCTGGAATCTAGGAAATTGCCCCTAAATATGTGCTTCACCACTGAACTATACCCAAATCCCAACAAAAACATTTTTTAAGTCTAATAATTAAAGTCTAATATTTAAGTCTATTTTTATTGTTGTTGTTGTTGTTGAATAATCTGATCCTTTTGTTACAAAATTCTCAATGGCCCTTAGTCTATGTGGTCGAGGTAAGTCACTCCCCTATGAACTACTGAAATGGGAAGGCATCAAAGGAAGCACCAGGCTAGCTGTCTCAGTGTTGTACTATTTTCATGGATATATGAGAGGTTCACAGTAGGGTCCACTCCATTGACAAGTTGAGACCTGAATATTTTCTTGAGGAATTTGCTAGGCAATTAGAAAGAACCCCAGATTTTTGAATGAGATGAGAAAATTAGTTCTGAATGACCAAAAGGAGAAGCCAGGTTATACAGTGGAATTGGCCCAAAAGACCAAGTTCCAGTACCAGTGTAGGACCTATGCCAAGAAAGTCTGAACTTAGCCAAAATCTGGAATAGCCTCAATAAATTGGTAACTATTCTTAAGCAAGCTAAATTTCTTAGAAACAGAACAAAGGTGAACATCAGTTTGAAGAAGGCCTCAGAAATATGGGGCAGTAATTTGAAATCTTTGAGGCCTCAATGGGACATTTTCATTTCTCACTCTCAGGGGTCTAAATCCTTGGGCAACTATAGGTGACAGGGATTTTGCTAAGTGTTGGGATATAGAAGTGAATGAGCAGAGATCCTGTTTGGAAGATCATAATAATCTAAGTGCAGGCAGACCCAGAAGTACATGGGTTTAATACATGGTCTAAGTACTATGCTATGACCTTGAGAGAACAGTGATGGCTGCCCTCCAGGAAGACTCTGTGGCATATACACCTGGAGAGAAGGTATTAGATAAAGCAAAGGGCAAACTGCTGATCCAAGAGATTTCAAAATGATGAGGCTCAAGCAAGACAGGAATTTCTTTCTTGATCATAGACCCGTCCAGGAAAAGTGGAAGGCTGTGCTCCAGGACCCCAGTAACAGGATGGCTCTGTACCCTCTCCTCTAAGTCTGGGACCAGAAAAATTACTAGACAGGACCTGATAGTAAATACTTTCAGCTTTGAAGGACTATGTTCTTGGTTGGAACTACTCATCTTCACTGTTGTAGCACAGAACAGCCCTAGACAATAGGTAAAAAAAAAAAAATGTGCACAATTGTTTCCAATAAAACTTTATTTAGAAAAACAAGAGGTGGACCACAATTGTTCCACAGACAGCAGTTTGCTTACATCTGCTCTAGGTTATTATTCTGTGCAGAGTTAAAATTAGGCTGTTGTTGCTCTGGGTTCTATATAGGAAAGGGAAAGGACAGAAGTCCAAGACAACGGGATTTTCTTTAAAGTAAGTACTGCCGAATCGCTTTCTCATTTCCCCTCACATTTTATTGATGAAACTTAGTTACATGGTTCCACCTCTGTGCACAAGAATTTGGGGACTATGGTCTATAACTGTGCTACCATATGGCTAAGGGAAAGGGTAAAATGAATTTGAGAGGACAGCCAGCTATTTCCACAAATTGGTATTGGGTACTTAATTAGTGGCAGGGTTCATTGCAGTTTATATTGGTCAAACTATGGAGAAAGTATAGATCAGTTTGGATTAATAATTCAGATACCAATAATGTTGTATTTTCTAAGCTTCAGGACTTTACTCATTATTGAGTCATGAAATCAGTTCAATTGGTTGCTTATTTTTTTTAAGTAAAAAAAGGGGGAATAGAACAGAATATAAAATTAGGGTAGAAAATATCAGAATACCTTGTGCATCATAAAGGCAACTACTGTTCTATGAATATTCTTGTCTGTATTCTTGGTTATGATGCAAAATAGATTTCTTGCTTTAGAAATATATTTACTTTAAGTACTCTATGTACTTTAAATCAGAATCTTTCCCATTTGTACTTTTTAATTTTCTTTTCTTTATGGATTAATGTTTCTTTTTAGTCTTCATTGGATGTTCTTAGGACTTCTTTCACTGGTTGTCAAAGTTTTTGTGTCAACCCTTATGCTTGTGGGCAGAAGAGGGACAGATTGCCCATGCAGAAAAAGTGCTTAGAGATTTCAGAGAGAAGAGAAATGATACCAGAGAGAAAGTGGATGTGTGTGTGTGTGTGTGTGTGTGTGTGTGTGTGTGTGTTTTCTCTGAGACTTACCCTGAGGACATACCTGGCAGTGCCTTGATCCCTGTCCCTAGTATGTAGCACAGAGGTGAGTGCATAACAGTCTCCAGGAGTGAATGCACGGAGGCACTATGCTAATGAAACCAGAAGGAAGACTTCTAGGACTCCTGTAAGTTCACGGAAGTGGTGGTGGGAAGCTGAGCTCTGACTCTAGAACAAGTGATGTGATAGGCAATGGGTGGGCTTGGCTTGAGAAATGGAAATATGACAATGATTTGGCAGCACAATATTACAGTACTCAGAATCTTCTAAAAGGATAGATTCCATGTAGCTGGAAACAACAGGAATTTATTCTTTCACCTTGAAAGGAGGGGGACAACAGAACTGTCCTCTCTCAGAAGGCTCTAGAGAACCTGTTCAATTCTTTTTCCTAGCTTCTGATGTTGCCAGAAATCCTTGGCTTATAGATTCTCCACCCCAATCTATGCCTCTGTTGTCACCTGGTTTTCTCCCTGAGTGTCTGTGTCTCTGTTTCCTCTTCTTTTTTTAAAAAAAAATTTATTATTTTTATTTGTTCTAATTATTTTTATACATGATAGCAGAATGCATTTTGATTTATTATACACAAATGGAGCACAACTTTTTGTTTCTCTGGTTGTACACAATGTAGAGTCACACCATTAGTGCAATCATACATGTGCCCAGGGTAATGATGCCCATCTCATTCCACCATATTTCCTACCCCCATGACCTCTCCCCTCCCCTCCCTCCTCTTTGTCCAATCCAAAGTTCCTCTCTTCTTATCATGTCTTTCCCCCCTCTATTATGGATCAGCATTTACTTATCAGAGAGAAAATTTGGCCTTTTTTTTTGTGGGGGGGTTGGCTTACTTAGTATAATATTCTCCAACTCCATCCATAATACCTGCAAATGCCATAATTTTATTCTCTTTTAATGCTGAGTAATATTCCATTGTGTATATACCACAGTTTCTTTATCTAGTCATCTATTGAAGTGCATGTAGGTTGGTTCCACAGTTTAGCTATTGTGAATTGTGCTGCTATAAACACTGATATGCAGTGTCACTATAGTATGCCAGTTTTAAGTCCTTTGGGTATAAACCGAGAAGTGGGATAGCTGGGTCAAATGGTGGTTCCATTCCAAGTTTTCTAAGGAATCTCTATACTGCTTTCCAGAGTGGTTGCACCAATTTGCATTGCTCCCAGTGATGTATGAGTGTAACTTTTCTCCTACATCCTTGCCAACATTTAATGTTGCTTGTATTCTTTTTTTAAAAAAAATTTTTACTTGTAGTTGGACATAATACTTTTATTTTTATTTATTTATTTTGATGTGGTGCTGAGGCTCAAACCCGGTGCCTCACACATGCTAGGCGAGCGCTCTACCACTGAGCCACAACCCCAGCTGTTTGTATTCTTGATAACTGCCTTTCTGACTGGAATGAGATAAAAATCTTAGAGTAATTTTGATTTGCATTTTTCTAATTAGTGGAGTTGTTGATCAATTGTATATCTTCTGAGAAGTGTCTGTTCAGTTCCTTAGCCCATTTATTGATTGGGTTATTTCTGTTTTTGGTGCTAAGTTTTTTTGAGTTCTTTATATATCCTGGAGATTAGTGCTGTATCTGATCTGCATGTAGTAAAGATGTTCTCCCAATCTGTGGACTCTCTCTTCATATTATTGATTGTTTCCTTGGCTGAGAAAAAACTTTTTAGTGTAAATCCATCTTATTTATTGATTCTTGATTTTATTTTTTGTGCTTTTGGAGTCTGGTTAAGGAAGTCAGGACCTGATCCAACATGATGGAGATTTGGACCTACTTTTTCTTCCATTAGATGCAGGATCTCTGGTCTATTTCCCTTTGTGAGGGTGCCAGTCATATAAGATTAAGGTGAACCCTAATCCAGTAATTTTGGATTAAAGTGAATCCTAATCCAATACAACCTCATTTTTTATTACATCTATAAATATTAATTTCCAAATAAGGCCACATTCACAAGTACTGGTGGTTAGGACTTCAATATATCTTTTGGGGGGGACACAATTCAACTCATAACAGGCACTTAGACTGTCTGTAATCTCATCTCATTTTTAACACCAGTATGTCCTAGTGTGCTTTTCTGCCTCACAAAATAAATCCAACAGACAGAAATTTGGGTATTTTATTGGAGCAATGAGTGAGAACTTGGGCATCAATGGATTTTAGGAGACCACCCCATCTGGTTGTTTGGATTCAAGCAATCCTTGAGCTGCCTATCTGTCCAAAATGCTCCCTCAAGATGAAAGGATTGGAATTCTCTTCTCAAATCTCTTGGAATTCTCTTCTCATTATCTCAATTGACCTTATGCATAATGAAAGATCACTTTCCAGCATATTGTATTATATCATCACAAAGGCAGAACAGAGTAATTAAAAAACTAAATGCAGTTTTATGACCATCTGGGTATTGTTACCATCTTCATAGTCATTAGATTTAGTGCAAGAGATGTATTAATTAGTGGCATAAAGAAGCAGAAGGCATCTGTGGTCATCATGGTTCTGGTTAGCATCTTAGAATATCCTCAGAAATGCCAGTAGTTTGGTGGGATGAGAAAAACCACTTCCCCACAGTTGAAAAATATTTATTATTTTTTAAAATTACTAACCAGTTTTCTCTTACCTCCAGCCATTGGTCATCTCTTCTTAGCAGGTACATCAACAAAGAAACACAGTGCTAGAAGTGTTATACCCCTTAAAAATAGGACAAACACTGTAGGCTAGCTTTTAAAACTCATGAGAAAATAGTACACAAGAGATAGTGAGGGCTGGGGTTGTGGCTCAGTTGGTAGAGCGCTTGCCTAGCATGTGTGAGGCACAAGGGTTCGATTCTCACCACCATATATAATTAAATAAACAAAGATCAATCAACAACTAAAAAAAAAAAAACTAAAAAAAAAAAAAAAACAGAGACAGTGAAAGGCAGGCACCTATTTCCTGAGTAAATCATTTCCTTTCTTGAAAGGGAGGAAAGTGGAGACATATGGAATGTTTGAACTGGAAGGAAACTTATAGACCTAAAAGAGGTTCAGAAAGTTTGCCTGTTCTAAATGCCCTTACAAAATTCTTGATCCAGATGTTTATCCCTCGTATAGAATGGTGGGCCTTAGATATCCTTTGACATAGAAGATATTCTTAATGATTTCAGGTCTGACACAAGGATCCTGTGATCCCAGGTCAGCCATCACTTACAGAAGCTTTTTCCCCTGTAGAGGCCTGTCTTTGTCACCCAGTGGAGCTAGAACATTGTCTACCCTTAAAACCAGCAGTGGCACTTGCCACAGTCATTTCTGTCAGTGGCTGGCCATCCCAGCGTTGGCATTGTGATCTGTCTGATGGAAACGCTGTGGACGGAGTGATTTGGTAATTCTCAGTAACACTGCAGTATTTCCCAACAGCAGATGTAAACATCTTTGGGTGTGTGCTTATCTTCTTGGGAGTGATGTAAGAGTCCTTCTTTCTGTTCTTGACGCCACCTTCAGGCCCCAGAATGAACTGCAGAGTAGAGTCTTTCTGAAAAGTGGAATCCGATAAGGTATGATTTTTGAACTTTGGGACCATGGTGAGAAATGTGTTTTAGGTTGGTGATGTAGTACATGCATTTCTCTCCCTATGTGTATCTGTATTCCCAAAGGTATATTACTTTGGTTGAAAAAACATCATCAAACAATAACTCTGCGTGATGCATTGTGACATTGACTCTTCTATTTGCATTAAAAAGAATGCCTGCCCTGATCCAGCCTGCAGGTTGAGAAATAATGTGATCAGGTGTACTTTATTTCAGTTTAACATTCAGATGAATGTCTATTGGTGGAAATATCTGTTTTCTAATTTTAGATATTAACCTTGACATTTTCTTTGGTGTCAGAGGTTTAACCTTGAAGTTTATAATTTTCCCCTTGACAATCCTTAAGAAAATCCACACTGTGGCTCAGGTTCCACTCAAATAGAACTCTGTGTCCTGGCACATGTCACAATACCCATGTTATATATTATGTCTCAACCTCTTGCACATCCCTGAAACAGAATTCTGAGAGCCTGTGAGATGCTTTGTGCATCAACAGATGTTCATGACATTGAAACAAACTTATTTGGTCTCTTGTAGGTGTCTTATAGAGCTCAACATACTGGGATCTTGAAGATTGTCACTCAGATGGTGGCCATTTGGGTGCTGGCCTTCTTGGTAAATGGGCCAACGATTCTGGTTTCAGAGTCTTGGAAGAATAATACTTGGAATAATAATAATAATAAGGAATGTGAACCTGGATTTTTTTTGAAATGGTATATGCCCCTTATTACGTCGTTCTTGGAATTCCTGGTCCCAGTCATCTTAGTTGCTTATTTCAATGTGCATATTTACTGGAGCCTTTGGAAGCGGGGTAATCTTGGTAGATGCCTCAGCCATCCTGGACTCACCTCTGACTCCTCCAGAGACTTCGGACACTCATCCAGACATGGACTGTTTTCAAGGACATCTCTTCCTGCAGGGAAGGACGCAACATCATCCTGTGGTTCAGAGAGACAAGGAAGAAACAACAGTCTCTTGTTTTCCTTCAGAACCTACGTGAATAGCAATACAATCACTTCTAAAACTAGTTCCCTCTCCAAATCGGATTCTATAGCTCTTCACCAAAGAGAACACATGGAACTGCTCAGAGCTAAAAAATTAGCCAAGTCGCTGGCTATTCTCTTGGGTGTTTTTGCCATTTGCTGGGCTCCATATTCTCTGTCCACAGTTGTTCTTTCAGTTTACAAACCAGAGCAGCGTTCGAAATCGGATTGGTACAGAATTGCATTTTGGCTGCAGTGGTTCAACTCCTTTGTTAATCCCTTTTTGTATCCATTATGTCACAGGCGTTTTCAGAAGGCTTTCTTAAAAATATTTTGTATGAAAAAGCAAGGGATACCATCACACAATCGGTCAACATCCTCTTGATGATAATGTTCTCACTTCTATAAATTTTAGTCTTCATCTCACCAAGGTGAATTTCATCTTGCCCATTCCACTCTACCAAAAAAAAAAAAGTCCATAAAACCATAACAATTGAAAACTTAAAAAAAAAATCTGCACTTGGACGCCAATGGAACATTATCCCAGTAAATAACAGTCTAATGATGAATCGATAACATATTTTTGTAAACTCATAGCCACAAAGTACTATTTTTCTTAGTCATCACCTCTTCCTTGTTTTGTAGATCTTGATACAACCTTGATTGTGAAAGTCCAGAGTCTCTCTTCTCTTTTTAGGTACAATGTTTGCTACAGTCATAAGTTAATTTCACCTTTTTATTTGATAGCAATACAAATGTGTCCAGTTTTGAAAATCATTCCCTGAAGTATGCAATAGAGCCAGGAGCCTCAATTAGGGGTAGGGAGCTCTGTGATCATCAGTGGGAAGGTGTGTTTGGGTTTGAGTTGGCAAGAACAGGGGAGTTGCAGTGAACCCAGGTGAGCTCGTGTGTCTCTCCAGAGTTTATGTCCCTGATCCCAGTAAGGAAGGAGGTGTGGTGTGGTAGAAGAGAGCCCTGGCAATCACAGAAGAGGAGGAGAGATAGAGAAGAGCTTGTCCTATTCCTTCCTGCCCTCTTCTTCCAACTTCCATACAAGCTACAACTCTTTGGGTGGAAATACCAGAAAAAGAGGACAGGTAAGAGGTGGTGAGAGGACCACAGGACCACTGACCTGGCAGATGTCAATGGTTATTTCTCAAATACTGTTGTATCTATTTAATGTCTTTTACTCAATTTGCCCAATCTTTTATATTGCAGCGCTCAGTGTTATTCCTTTATAATGTAGTTGTTACAGGTTATACTTTACCGATAATTCACCATGTATTAGTTTGGTGATGTTTTTGTCCTTTGTTCACTTTTAAATGTTTTCTATTCCTCAATGTCATAAAATTTTATTTTTCTCCGAGTTAATTTCATCTCTCCTAAAGTTTTCTTTTTTTAAAGTATTCCTTCTACAATTTCTCAGACTTTTCATACAGTTTAATAATTTTTAGATTTCTTGGCCTTCTTAAGTCTGGTTGATTTTGAACACTAAATTACAAAAAAAAAAAAATCTGTTAAGTGCATGGCTTAGAAATGTACATGTTTTTTTATATACACTTATGCTTTAATTCCATAAGAGAGACATGTTTTACATTTAATAGCAGTTTGAAAAATTGAGAAGTAAGTTTTTATAAATGTATAAATATGTAAAGTTGTTATGCCTCAGCTGTTGGCTTTAACATTTATAAATCAGTAGTTATAGAGCTCATGTGATCACTGGAGGCTTGACTGTGCACAGAATCAAGTGGTCCTAGGAAAACTTTTCCCAATTAAACCTCAAGAGAAGCATGCCTAAATATTCATACATGTTTTCTAAATTATATATAAAACATAATATATTTCATATATATTTCATTCAGTGTAAGATGCTGTCAATGTAAAATAAGTTATTTTATTTACCACCATAAAATGGAAATGCTACAAACTGCTTATGATGCAGTATTTTAAAAAAATCACATTCATAGACTCATTCTGATTTCAGAGTTGAGAAATGAACAATATGTATCTTAGACATGCCGAAATACGATATATACATGACAAATGAACTGAATAGGCTACTACTCTATGAGAGTTTGAAAAATGAATACTTTAGATGGCCCATGAATGTATTCATCAAACAAATGTTATTGAGGCCTTAACAGGTATTAGCTAGTTATGATAAAGATGCCGGTGAACCTTGCCAATAAGATTTAGATTCCCCAGGAACAGGAATTTTACTCAGGGGTTCTCTTACTAACCCAGCTGGGTGTGCCACAGAACCTCAGCTGATACTTAGTGGTATTTGCTAGATATTTACCTTCCGATAAACACAATTTTGACCCCTTCCTGCATCCCCACTTTTGAGTTGTGACTTTCCAGACCCTCCCATCCAGAGTGACTTGCTTTGGCCAATAGATTTCTGCCAATAGGCAGGAAAATAACATCCTGCTTGAGCCTAGGCTTGAAGAGGCCTGTGCACATCTGTTCTGTCTCTTGGGAGTTACCCAGCTGCCAGTCTGCTGCAGGATGAGGGACCACGTGGAGCAGAATCAAGCTGCCATGGCTGAAGTGGACTTAGACTGGCAGCCTCCAGCTGACTCAGCAGCTGCCTGGTGAGGAAGAGGCAAAATGAGTTCTGCTGAAAGCTCCTAGCATGGCCCAGACCGGAGGAACCACACAGCTGACCCAGTGATGCCTGAACAATTAAGTTTTCATCCTGGGAGTGTTCATTGTTTGACTGACATGTCAAGCACCTACCCTACTGTGTATTAAACATACCCTCCAAAAGTGAGTAGAAGAAAGAAGTAGACATTGATATTGTCTATTCTAGTGTGAGAGCTTGGACACAAGACATAAACATTATTATGCAAGAGAACAGTCTTTTTTTCAAAAGGTCATGGCTTCTTCTCTACAGGAACATATTCATTGCAAAATGATTTAGTAGCAGGGATAACTGATTTTGAAATAACACAAATTGCATACCATACCAGTGGTCTAGGAGCACTTGTGAGGGTCAAGTTGCACTGTGAGGATGGTGAGGAAGGGCCCCCTGGGGGCAAAGAAGCTGTTCTTAGCTCTGTGCATCTCTCCCTTAATCCTTCCTGTCAGTCTCTTCAAGTTGCCATCTAGGTCAGAGACTACGACCTAACTATTGGTTATGCACTTTGTATCAAATGGTCTCTCTCATTTTAAAAAATGTGTCTTTCCTTGCTCATGCTAATAGTCATTTCTTTATATGCTTAGAATTTTATGAAGGAATAAGAGGAGGAAGAGCACTTAGTAGGACCAGCCAGTTTGGTTCATGGTTAGTAGTTTCTGTGAAAGGACTGGTAGAAATAGTTTACGTCTCATTTTAGATGTCAATACTGCCTATTCTCTGCTCTCTTAGAGAGGTCGGTCATAAAGAGTTGAACATTAAAGAATACGTGCTGTCTGGAGAGGTGGCACACACCTGTAATCTCAGCTACTCAGGAGGCTGAGGCAGGAGGATCTCAAGTTCAAGGCCTGACTGGGCAACTTAGTGAGACCCTGTCTCAAAATAAAAAATAAGGGGCCGGGGGCTGGAGTATAGCTCAGTGGTGGAGCATCCCTGGGTTCAATCCCTAGTAACCCACACACA